GGTATATGCTATCTATCACCATGTCTGGAATCAAAGGCTCATACTGATTGGTGATAATCTCTAGGCGAGCAAATTGTCTCTGTTTGCCTTGGGTAGTATTATAATATACTCTAACTACTGCACCCAATGCACCAGCAATAGTCTGAAACAAACTCTTCTTATAGTAGCCATATGGTAATCCAAGAAGCCGAACCCAAACAAAAATCATTTCTGGGTGATCTTCAGATGTTGAGAAACTCCTCCACCATGGTTGAACTGTAAGGTAGCTGCCATAGATCATCCAGGGACCACCAGATATAATCTTATGGTTATTTTCCTCCAACGCAAAACGAACAAGAAAATACTCATTATCCAAATCAACAACTTGTACCTCACCAGACGGCTTCCATAACAATTTTATACGATTTAAAAGCGCTCTGTAGCCGATCAACTTTCCCAGGAGGCGCACAATCACTGACTTTGACAGTTTTTTGTCAATGGATTGATGGATCTGCTCAGAAAAATGAATATCCGACACTGCTTCCCCTGTATCAATTCGAACATCCTCTAGAAGCAATTCATCGTCTAAATTAGAGACATTATTAACCTTTTGGTTCACTCCACTTTGACCAATAGCCACATCCCTAAAAGATAATTTGTTCTTAATCTGAGTAGCCCCTCTTCTGGCATGTCCCTCATGACTTCATCAGGATCATCTGATTCCAAGCCGGTCGAAACATTCTCCACGATCTTATGCATATTCTCGTTATTCCTTGCTTTTTTCCTGGTCGGTAGATCATTCACTGGGATCACATGTCTTGGCTGCTGCAAGGATATCACTGCGTTGACAAGGCTCAGACCATCCTAGTTGGGGAGACCGTAGCGTTCCCATTAGGTTTCCTATATTCTCAGAGAGAATCTCAAATAGAATTGAAGATTCCATAAAGTTTTTCAAATTTCAAAATAAAAAAAAAACACTAATCACATACCTTAAATTGTTCATTACCACAAACGTACATAATAAAGACCAGTGATGGACCTCAGCGGGGCAGTAGCCCACCATAAAATTTTAAAATTACCATATATTTTAGATTTTTTCTATGTATTTTTTATTAAAATTCTATTTTCACCCTCTAAAATTTTATGAGATCAAGTTCGCCCCTCCTGAAATTTTGTTAGTTCAAGTTTGCCCCCCTTAACATAAAATCTTGCGTCCGTTTCTGATAAAGACTCCGTTTCTGATAAAGACTCTCACTTTGTCTCCAAGTTGTATGATACTCAAAATCAATCTTATAAAAACTTTCCATTTATTAGTCTCCCATTTTCTTTTAGTGACTCATTCTTTGACCTTCTCTTATGGAAGTGTTTCCCTGCTTAAGCTCAAAACCGTAGCTTGTTACTTAACTTATCACTTATTTGAATAAACATTTAGTATTGGAGAATTGGTCTTAAGAAAGATGTATTTTGTTAACTTTGTAGATAAAATCTTGATTTCTCAATTTGGCTATCTTTTCTTCTTGTCAGTCTAATTGAATAAGAAAACGAGGAAGATTGTTTTATCTTCCTTAATTTTGGTTGTGAGAATATCTTCATCTAATTTTTTATTGCTTTTTCTAAGTGACAAGTAAAAAGATTATAAATAATTGAATTGTCATTTCCCACTATCTCAATTTTGGGTAAATTATCCTTAAAGACCCTTTTAATTTTCCTTCCTCCAGATCTTTTACAAATATCTAAACAATTCTCTAATTTTTTAAATTAGATATTTTTAATACTTATGGCGATTACAAGATAATATTTTCTTAACATATTTACAACTTGTACGTGCCCATCATTAAATCAAGTTTATGCTACTAAGATTTGGAGTGAGATTCAGATAAATGAGGGAGGGAAAAAGATAGTTTGGCAAAGGCTTTTTTTGGCCCAATAGGGCTTATGAATTACTAATTTAGGGTTTTACCCATCTTCCAATTTTAATTAGTGATTTATGATATTTGTTACAGTTTTGGGCGAACTCGTCATCTCAAGACGGTGTGTTCCATGGAATATTATTTTTTATGGACTCGAATGAGTGGGTCTCACGTGGGCTATTAATTTATTATTTTTAAGTGAACTCGTCAAGTCGAGCTGATGAGTTTAATAAACAATTATTTTTTATTATTAAAAAAATAAAATTAGAAATTTTTAAATCCAAAAATCTAGTCATTGGTCAACGAGCAGTTCTGCAACGATCACAATGGAACTCGTCACATCGAGGTAACGAATTCACCCGGTTTAAATTTAAAAAATAAATTAATTAAAAAATAGTAATATTTTTTTTATTAAAATAACATTGTTTACAAACTAATAAAATTTATTTATATTTTCTAAGCTCTTGACGATGTCGAGGAGTGCTTGAATGATAATGGCACGAGGCTCGTCAAGTACGTTGGGGTCGTCGACTTTGATCGTCGTCGTCATCTTCATCTTGCTGAGGAGGTGTACTTAACACACTCTGAGATCCACCTTCGAAATACGGTGATGGGCTTATGGTATTTGACTCCATCATTGTTGTTATTGAATTGACTATGTTGTTGACCATATATGAAATGATCACATTCACCCTCAACCGCATGTTATGTTGAAGATGTTTAAATGTGTTGCATTGTATCCCATGAACCTCAAACTCAAGTCGGTTGAGTCTCAGTTGAAGTATGATATGCATGATAGAAACCGAAACTAGCCTGAGATGCATTATAGTAATCTTCAATTGCAGATGTTGAAGCAGAAGAAGAAGACGCCGATGATTTCTTCTTGGACTTGGGGAATCTAGCCTGATGTTGTTCTCGTTCTCCCCACTATTGTGGTGTCGTGAGATATGGTTCCCCATTTTCTTCATAATTTCGGAGATAGAGAAAATGGTCAAAATCTAGATCTAGCGGTGTAATATCATACCGCGGGGGGACGACAAGTCTCGTTGATTCCATAGCTCGATGTAGTAAGCGTGCTTCACCGTCCAATTTTCGGTATGTTTCTCACGCGTATCAATTCTACAAAGCGCGTCCATCTCAATGATTTGCGTAGGAATCGGAAGAATGCAACGCATACTGTCATAATACTCCATCAACGACATGCCTCTCAACAATCGCAAAATGTAATAATGGCGTCGCGATATACCATAAATCAAACCCCTAAAAAAATGCAATGTCAATAACCAGTATATCTCGTCGTCAGCATACGGAAACCAAGAAAACTGTAAATATTAAATATCAAAGTTAATATATATAAAGTTTAATTTTTTTATAAAACTAATAAATAAACAATTGTATATCACATATCGACCGGTGATTCTGATCCTAATCCGTTTATCTTCTGTAGTGGCACCTGACAACTTCGTCTCGGTTATTTTATGGCACCATCTAAAATATTTAAAAATATAAAAAAAATTAAAACATATAAAAAATTAATTCAAATTAAAAAAAAAGTCAAAAAATTACCTTTCAGCAAGAGGAAACTCGACCGGGGTTGTTGTAATCGGCGTAAAAAATGGGAATTGATACCAAACCCACGATTGTAGCAATATTAGACAGCCTCGTACATCGAATTTTCGACCCCACTCGACAATTGTAGTCTTGCAAAGCTCCCGACACAGAAAGGCTAAAATCGTCGAGCCCTAATTGGTATTGCGACACTTAACAAAGTCACTTAATATTCAAAGATATTGAGTGTACACCAAATCATCGGATTTATCCAATAATAATATCCCTTCGATCAGTTGGAGAAGATATGCTTGGGACGCAAAAATAACCTTGTCCTTGGTAGAATCGTTGGTCACATAGAATTCAGACTCTAACCACGTTATTCGTACCTGATAGCCATTGATAAACTTGGATGGTGGTACCTTTCCCAAAACTTCATAGAACAACGTCTTGAGGTTGTAATTGTTCCACCTCACCACAGGGGCTCCATTCACGGGAACTCCGAGTTGGTAAGCGGCGTATTCTAAAGTAATTGTCGTTTCACCACTCGAGAAATAGAAAGTGTGCATCTCAGACTGCCACCATTCGATCAGAGCTTGAATCAATGTCGGGTACACCTTGAAGCCACGTACAAATATGGCTGGAAAAAGACTGGATTGCTGAAGATATATCAACATCCGCGGATACGAATTTCTCACAATTATCCCGCGCTGACGAATACTCCGTTCTTCTTCTGGCCAGAATTTGATCAATGAAATATGGACGTTGACAATTCTGCTTAGGAAGCCATTTTCGAGATTTTCACATAAAGTCAAAATTTTGCAATTTTTTCATCTTTAGGGTCTAATGAAAAGTAAAAACCCCAAATGACTATTGTCAAGTAACCGTTGCACAACTACCCATTGACCAACTACTAATTTTTTGAATTCGAAGGAACCCGTCACCTCGAGTTCCCTTATTTTTTTAAATTTTTTTCTTATTTTATTTTTTTAATAATAAAAAATATTTTCATTAAACTCGTCAGTTCGATGTGACGAGTCCACTTAAAAACAATAAATTAATGACTCACATGAGACCCACTCATCTGGGTCCATTAAAAAATAATATTCTATGGGTGACGAGTTCCACCCGACATTGTAACAAATGCAATAGATCCTTAATTAAAATTGAAGGATGGGTAAATCCCTAAATTATAATCCAAAATCCCTATTGAGCCAAATAAGCCGCTTGGCAAAAGCTTATTAAGTTTGCTTTGCATATTGCTCGGCAACCGGCAACCCATCATTGCTTGGATCGTTATTGCAAGGAAATGAATATGGAGAAAACAGTAGAGCTTCACAACGCAATTGAAAAAAAAAATAACATTATAAAATTAAAATGATAAGTGAATGTTAAACCAAATTAAAATATAAAAACGAAATCTCAAATTTAAATATATAAGGGAGACCAAAACAGTAATTTGACCGAGAGAGAACTATGATGGCACCATTTTAGCCTGTGATGCAAGTAACCAAACATCCATTTTCATAGTTGCAATGAAAAAATAATTCTAAAAAGAATGTATCAAAATTCAAAAGAATATCAGATACCAATTGTAAGACATTCCGTTTGATAACCTCACGCATGCATAAAAAATCATAAGATTTAAATCGAAATTGCTAATTGTTCTAGACAGAGACCTGAATGTAACGTCAAACCAAAATCATAGCACCCCACCACCTATTAACATTTTACATCAAACAAAAGTAAAATGCATTTCACCATCTCCATTATTCCTGCTTCTTGGAGACCCCCATTTAGTTGGCACGGCTTCTAATAACATCGAGTCCCACCTCGGTCGGGTCAGTTGCCTGCAGCTCTACTTGAATACCATCCAGCTCTCTCTTGAACCTGTCCTTCGAGCTTGCATAAATCATCTTGCTTCTCACCCTTGACGTGTCGGGAGACCTTAACATAAACAGCAATGAATCAAATGTATACAGATTGGAATATTCAAAAAGTACTAATAGTTTCAAGCATGCATTGTTTACCATGCAATAAAGAAAATCCTGCTTTTCTGGCAATTCTCAGCAGTCACGAAGTCAAAATCGTATACAGCGTATCGACATTCATCAGCAGGGAGGCTTGCAGTGAAATCCTCGTAGCTTTGAGTTGGCTCACCAAGCTTTTCCACAACAACCTGCTTTTGTTTCTCCTCGATCTTGAATACTATGAAGCGATAAGTTCTTTTAGCCTTCAACTCTAGAAATTTCAACTTGCAGTCATCATGCACAGCCATTCCAGAAGCTGCATTAGCCTGTAAAGGAATGGTTCATAGAATACATAACCTTTAATACAACAATGACCCCTTCAAACTATATATGACCAATCAATCCATCAGGTCTTTCCCATTTTTTGCCTTTTCTAACCATTCGAAAGAAATGAAATACTTAACAGGCTATTTAAAGACACCACATGGTCTTGTGTTCTCCCTCAGAAAAGAACAGAAAGACAGGTCAATGACTCCAAACAACCAGGTCAACCCCATGGATCTGATCCCACTTCCTTTTTTCTGTTCGGTCTCCAGGGTTTCGACAAAGAACCATAAATTTGAAATTACACAAAATTTAACAGGCTTAAGAGTATTAACTAACTGGCACAACTCTGAGAGATGAACCTAATTACTTTCATCGTATAAAGTCAACCAGCGGCAACAACAACAACAACAATAAAGGTAATCGAGAAGGCCTAGGTCACCGATAGGAATCCGCTTCAGCAGTGATGCACATTCGTTTGTGGGGATAAAAATGAATGAATTAAACAATAATATCTAAATTCAGAAAGCACAATCTATCAACAACGGCTACTGGAAAAATTATCACAAGGAATCCTCATTTCGAAACAAAAGCCAGCATATATAACGGATTAATGAAAATCTTAAAAATACGATCAATAAGTCGTTAACCATTTTAAATCATAATGTTTATTAATATGTCTATGCGAAAACATGAATTTTCGGAGGAATCAAAATGGCAGATCAATGAAGATTAAGTCGAGCTATTTTTTATCAATAATAAATCCTAAAGTTTCATTCAAGTGTAACAATAAAAAACGCCAATACATCATCAAGCGGAAGATCAAACAATAATAGAAGAATGAAACATTTTATTACTTTCGCAAAAATCATCCATTGGGAAAAAATAAAAATAAAATGTAAACCCAGCAATGAATTGTTTTGAAAGACTCAGACTGAGTAATCAGCAGAAACGCAGAGCTCTATGTTCAACATACATGATAAACTAGATCTAAAATAAATTAAATGTTCTAAGCAAGTCAAAGAATGATAGATCGAATGCAAAGACTTGAATCAGAAAATAAGAAGAGAAAATACGAAGAGAAAATAAAAAACTCACCATTGCTTGTCTAGGTAGAACTTACAGAGAGAAAATCTAGGGCAACAAGAGTATCTAAAAATGAGAACGGAGGAAGGAATTATTGGGCTTACTCAGACTCTGAGGGATAATAATAATCTTTTTAAATAAATAAAAAAAAAATCCTCTTTCGGTTAAACTATATAATGGTCACTAATGATTGAGTAATTTTCCTTTTACCTATTAATACTTGAAAAATAATGATTTGATCATTGATATTATCGATTTATAATAAATTGGTCATTCGTTCTTAACAAAAGATAATATAATATTGATGTGACATATTAAACGAAATAATGTGACATTGTTTGGCTATGCGAGACAATGACGTTGACTAACCATGTGACACCCCTCTAGTTTTTATAGGTGTATAGCGTGATTACTTATTAAAAATCACAAAAAAAAATATGTTGATTCACCAAATTGTTTAGAAAATTTATGCATTTAATCTGATCAACCATGGAAATGTATATATCCGAAGATCATTGTTGAAGGTAGGTTTGAGCTAAATACATCCATCGTTGATCTTACATTCACCATTGAATCTTTTCGTGTTTTAACTCGGATCGTGGGGAATGGAAAATAATTTGCAAGGAAGGGATAATTGACAAAAAGATCCCATTGTGGATATGGCCAACGATAGATTTTTTTCAACTCGAATATGTCTTTAAAAACGGTCTTTAGCTCAATTGATAATCCATCTATGCATTTTCATGGTTGGTTAGACTTAAATGCATACTTTTTTTGAGCAATTTGATGAGATGGGCTATCATTATGTGATTTTAATAAGTAATCATGTCAAACATTTATAAAAAAAGAGGACTCAAACTATCCCAAGTGATCAAACGATATCATGTCACTCGATTTAACGTGTTATATCAACATTTCGTTATTCAGTAACAATTAACAATTAAAGTGTTATATTTGAGAATAAGAGTTCGTTTGTCACCTCTATAAAAAAAAGTGAGATTTTGGTCATCAACATTTGATATGGTTGGGTTCTACCTTTTTGACGAGTTTAATTGCTATAGATGTTTCATATCTGATATAATTGATCATTTAGTCCATAGAATAATGTTTAATGATAGTTTCAAACACTTAATATAACATCTTTAATATACTTTATGACGAGGTTAAATAAGTGAATTGTATTTATTAATGTCAAATATTACTTTTAGTAAATTCTATGATTAAACCGAAGTCTATATTATGCTCTGAGTCCGTACATGTCAATTAGAAGTTTAAACTATGCTAATTATTAATTGATTTGTGAATAATATAATCAAATTCATTTTATATAGTCTTGTAAGATATTTGATGATTCAATCGAATGTGTAGAGAAGCAATAGCTGTCAGACTGGTCAAAACCAACTCAATTTCCTACCTCTTTTCTTTTTTTTGTCTATTTACCTCAAGCCACATGTTATTTTTCATGGTAAATTACATGTTTGGTAGTTGAAATTTACTATTTCTCCTATTTCACTCATCGTACTTTTAACTTTTTCAATTTAGTAACTGAACTTTATAGATTGAATTTTTTTATCACTCCTCCGTTATATAGTTAACAACGCTATGACATGACCGTATTTTAATCAAGACGACATCGTTTTAATCTAAAATTTATTTTTTTCAGGAATTTAACACGACATAGTTTTGATAAATTGTCATGTCTTAACGTCGTTTAATCATTTAACAGCGGAGTAACAAAAAAAATTCAATCTATAAAGTCTAGTGAGTAAATTAAAAAAAATTGAAAGTACAATGAATGAAATAGAAGAGAGAGTAAAATTCAATTACCAAATGTGTAATTTACCCTATTTTTTATTAGGACATATCTTTTACATTTGAGATATTCATGAATTCAATGTTTTAATTGCAAATTTTATCTTGAAATGCTCTAATTGATAATCTTTCTCAATATTGAACTTATACCCTTATTCATGATGACGATCATCCCGAGACAATTGATTATTGACTTGATAAGACTCTAAATACTTTACAAAAATAACTCTGATATTTAGATTATTAAAATCTTAAATGTGTCATTACTATAATATATGATGAAATTTTGAATTTTCGAAAAATTATATTTTGATTGTAATAATTTGGATTTTTGAGTCAATGCATGAAGATTGACTTGAGAGGTTTATTAGTCGACAATAAAGTATGATTAAACTTATTAGATAGAGTATGACATATTCAAAAGAGAGTCGGGCATAATTTTCCATGAAAATATTTAGAATGAGATCAAATGAGGAGGGATAAAAGAGTAAATATACTGTTAAGGAAAATCATGATTGATTTTCCTTGAGTTGCTTATATCGTGACCGATAAAGAGAACGGTAGAATCTTCGTAGATGGTCTAAGTGATAATCTTCTATCTTTGTAGGTAGTTATGATGGATTCAACTAGAGTTCGATAAAATTTACTTTTTTGTCACCTAATTATTTGGACATTTTTATTAGGATACTAAATTGTTTTGCGGTAAACAATATGAAGTAAGATAGTGTTAGGTGGAAGATAAATTAAAATGAGACTTGTATGCTAAAAGAGAATTGCGAGTTTATTTCCTCATCCAAAGCTGTTGAAGACAAAGTTTGGGAGGTCGTTTGGATCAAATTAACCCCTTCAAAAGTTCAATTCTTACGGAGGTTAGTTCTTGCATGATTGTTTACAAAGTTCAAACTTCGTCTTAGAGGTATCTCTTCTTCTAATCAACATGTTTGTCCTCTCTACAAAGAAGTCAAAACACCAGTTCACATTTTTTTGTCATTGTCTAGTGTCTTGGAGATTATGACTTTGTTGTTGAAAAATCTAGAATGTCTCATTCGTTATGCCTGACGATATCAAATCCTTTTTTCTTATGTGGGTTAAGTGTTCGATCCGAGCCGACTCTCTTACAGTGTGGTTAGTGGCTCTCAACGGGCTAACTTGGACAATCTGGTTATTTCACAATGAGATAGTTTTCAATGGAATTATGATTGACGAGAACCAAATGTTCAGAGTTTTCCTTGCTAAGATCGCATGGTGGAGTAGATGTAAGTGACTTGAAAATGTAACCTCTGTTAGTAATTTTGTTTTTGACCATTCTTTGATTTCAATTGGTCTTATGATTAGGAAAATAAAATCTATAACCATCTATCCTTTTACAAGTTAATGTTGTTGGTGCAATACTGATTTGCTATATAGAGGTTATTTATGAACATTTTGTAGTTGACTCTGGTTATCTTTTGGCTTCTTGTTGATGTTGGGTTTGTTGGGTGTCGTTCCCACTATATGGGAAAACCCATTCACCCGTTGAACCCATTTAATGGGTGTTTGTTTTCTATTTTTTTTGTGAAACATTTTTGTCACCGTAAAAGTCTATTTTAACTCTGCCATTAAATATTAACTCAACAATTTGTTGAAGAAAATGTTTACAACCACATTGATTAAGAGACACATGCTCGTACATTGTGAGAGAAGCTTGAAAGCTTATATGCCTTGAGGTCGAAAAATAACAAATTGTTTTTGTTGAAGAAAATGATGACGTTGAAATATAGAGAAGGAACATCTACAATTTACCATGTTAATGATTTTCAGAGTGTGATGAATCAGTTGTTAGGTATGGGTGTCAAATTTGATGATGAGAATTTAGGGTTTTGGTTGCTTGCTACTCTATTGGACTCTTGGGAGACTTTTCGAGTCTCGTTCATTAATTCTGCTCCACCAGGTATTATTACTTTAGATTTGGCTAAGAGTGGTGTATTGAATGAAAAGGTAGAAGAAGGTCTCATGGTTCTACATCACATTTTGAGTCTTTGGTTACCGAAAACAGGAGAAAAACAAAGACAAAGATGGAAAAGGTTGAGATAAAAGTTGAAGCAAGTCAAGATCAAGATATAAGAATATTGAGTGGCATCATTGTGGTAAAAAATGTATATCAAGAAATGCTACTTTAAGTGGAAGAAAGATAATAAACGTGGTGGTGATAAACACTATAAGAAGGATGATAAAAAATCTATGTGTGTTTTTACTATTACTCGTGAAGATATGTTGGTTATTTATGATGAGAATTTGGTCAACCTAGCATGTGATGAAACATTTGGGTGATTGATATTGATTTTTTAATTCATGCCATATCAAGGAGGGATTTTTTCACATCTTTATACTTTTGGTGATTTTGGGTATTGAAGATGGGTAATGACAATTTGGTTTCAATTATTGGCATGAGAGATATTAGCTTGGTGAGTAATAATGGAACAAATTTAACTTTCAAGGATGTTAGATATGCATCAGATATATGTTTGAATTTGATTACTATAAGAAAGCTTGATGACAAGAGATTTTGTAAAACCTTCAGTGAGGGGCACTGAAAGCTAATTGAAGGCTCCTTGGTTGTGGCTCAAGAAAAGAAGAGCTTGAATTTGTACTTGATGTAGGCTTTGACTTCTCAAGAGACTATGAATGTGACAATGAATAACAACTCAATCGAGTTCTGGCATAAATGACTTAGTCACATGAGTGAGAAGGGGCTTAATTATTTAGCTAAGAAGAATCAACTTTCGAGTTTAAGAATGCTATATTGAAGAATTATGCCCATTCCTAGTGAGGAAGTCAAAAAAAGTTTCCTTTAGAATCCACCCTCCTTATAGATGATCAGATTTGCTAGAGTTGGTCCATTCAGATGTTTGTGGTCTGATAAAAGTAAGAACACGCGACAGTGCACCTTATTTTGTGATTTTCATTAATGATTGTTCAAGAAATTGTAGATCTATACTTTGAAGTCAAAAGACCAAGTCTTTGAGACATTTGGACAGTTTCAAGCATAAGTTGAAAGGGAAATGAAGAAGAAGTTGAAGTGTATTCGTACTGATAATGGTGGCGAGTATACAAGGTCATTTCATGGGTATTATCTGTGACAGGAATTATACATTAAAGGACACCATCGAATTCTCCATAGTTGAATGGTTTAGCTGAAAGAATAAACCAAACATTGATTTAGAAAATTAAACATTTGATTTAAAATGTAAAGCTTCCGATATTGTTTTGGGATGATGCTTTGAATACAATGGCACATGTGCTTAATTTGTCTTCTATTGTTCCTTTGCAAGGTGATGTACCAGATAGAGTTTGGTTTGGTAGAGACGT